CAATACAGACATACCGGCGCCCGAAGCGCGCCGTTCACAGCGAATACAACAGGTGTTTCACTCACGCAAACGGTCTAAGCATTCAAACATCGGTTTAGGCTTTAATGAGTGTTTAGTGAAGTCATTGAGGGATTATTTGTTGACATTAGAAGAGCGCATAGTGTCTGCGAGTCTGGCGCTCGTCAGCCAACGGTCCAGAGATGAGTGGAAACGTTTGGTCGACGGCGAAGAACGTGACCACAAAAGACCGTTTAATCATTTTGTAAAAGCTATCCTCGAGTTAAGGAAAAGTGTGCGACCGATGTGTCTGTCGGAGACGTTGAGCGACGAGAGCCCACTCTTCGCCAATTGGTCGCAGAGTTTGACAGAATGTACAAATATATCGCAACTATTGGTCCACATTTCAGTACTTGAGTCAAGCATAAAATGGGGCAAATCTGCTCTCCGGGCCTATTGTAAGATCTGTCGCCGCAAATGCGACGCCGAGAATATGCTTCTGTGCGACCGATGCAATCGCGGACATCACACCTATTGTCTGCAGCCATCGCTCGACTCCATACCTGCCGGCGAGTGGTTGTGTCCCGACTGTTGTCCCAAAATCAAACCCCAAACGCCAAAGAAGAATAAAAACTATTCGTTGAACAGCGAAGATAGCGTTGTCTCTGACAACGAGTGCGAACCTACCGGTGATGACGATTCGGGTGACACTGAATCCCAAGTGTCGGCTGAATCATCGCAAAAGTCCGAAGACCCGCAAGACGTGATTTGCGCCGTCTGTGACCGAACCGATGATGACCTGCAGCTTCAGTGCGCCAAATGTCACGATTACTATCACACGGAATGCGCGAAAGTGAGACGAGTGACCAGAAATTGGTTTTGTAACAACTGTTCCATCAGTAATGGCTCTGAAGTTTCTAATAAACCCAAACAATTGGCCATTAAGTTGAAAGACAACGACGACGAAGAATCTACCGGTGAAGAGTGTGGCCGTAATCGACGGTCCAATAGAGGCCGTCCGCCACTGCGAAAAGACTCGGAAGACACTGAATCCCAAACATCTTTAGAGTCAATGTCGAGCAGTGAAAACTCTGAAGCGGTGGTGTGCGGTGTCTGCGACTGGACTGTCGATGAGGAACAGCTCGAGTGCAGTAAATGTCACGTATGTTATCACAAGGAGTGCGCGAATGTTAAACGTATCACAAGAAGCGAGTGGTTCTGCAGAAACTGTTCCGTCAGTGACGGTAAAGATGCGGTTAAGAAACGGAAACAAATAGCCATTGATTTGAATGACAGCGACGACAACGAGTCAACCGGTGGTGACAGTAGTCCTAAACGGCCCAAAAGAGGTCGTCCGCGACGTGAGGACAGCGTAAAGGCGACGACCGCTCGAAAGGCGTTTAGTTTCTCGAAAGACGTTGAGTTCATTCCGCCCGAAACCAGTGGTCGGCGTCGACTGTCCGCTCCCAAAGACACTCAACCGGATCTTCCATTAGATTGGCGTTTATGTGAGTCTATTCTGAAGAAACTGCAGAGACATTCAGACGGTTGGATATTCCGGAGTCCAACCAATTCGACGGTATATTATATAGAAAATAATACATGTCTTGAATTGGCATTCATTGGTATTGTCCATCACTTTAGGAAACGCGATATAATAAAGTGGTCAAACATTACATAGATTTGGGACGTATTGTAACGAATCTAAATGAACGCAAGTATTCATCGAATATAGAGTTCTTTCGAGATGTAAGACACGATTGTGTGGAACCAATTGACGACAACTTAATGATTATTTGTTTGGTCCCAATCACAGGTCTTATTGATGATAAATAACGCCGTTTTCTATAATAATTGCGATTCACCGGAGTATAAGGCGTGCCAATCGTTGGCCATATTCTTCGAGCAATTAGTGGGCGAGTGTGGCATTGATTTGCGACGACTGTCCGTTCGGTCCAAACGCTGCTGATGTCCTGATGGGCTCTACCGGTAAACCGACGGCTATTATAATTATTTAAATCTACTGTAACTAACTTTTAAGCGCATGTTTTTTAGTGAATAAATAACTGTAATTTGGGATCTTTTAACTGTTTTTAGGCAAATAGTAATAAATCATTTGTTTTAGTTTAACGTTAATCCATTTCCAAACCATTATTTTCGTACTTCACTCTAAATGGCATGTATTTAATAGTTAACGTTATATTACAAACTGTATTACATTTAACGCAATGTTATTACACTATTTTATTAGAGCTGTTATATAATTAGTTAATCAAAATATATTGTATTAATAT